GTTTTCACTTAAAGATACAAAAGAATTTCTTGCTTCTATTTATAATAAAAAAAAACCAGAAAAATCGTTACTAAATTGGTTCATAAATTTATTTGCAGAATTTTTTTTATGCCTTTCTTAGACAGGCTTTCTTTGTCTGGTGAATGGCCTTTCAATGGAACCCTATTGAAAATTGCTCTAAGATTCTACAGTTCCACTAGGTCTTATCAAAATCCTGACATCAAAAATCCCGACACTGCCAATATCCTAACAGTAACAGTAGTACTGTTAAGATTTTGGTAGTATCGGGATTTTAATGTCGGGATTTTGTGTGTCGGGATTTTGTTTTTGATATAGAACGTTCCACTAACATGCAACAAGTAGATCACGTTTTGACCCGGACTCATGAGGGTAAGTATGATGTATTTTTGATGGTATTGATCTGATTGTTTAAGTGATTTGTAAGTATGAGCGTTTTGTAAGGATGATGGGAAATATTGATTTGACTAATTAAGTATGAGGTCATAGTAAACTAAAGGAAGAGTGGAAAATTGTTTTCCCTCTTTTGTCTTTACTGCTAGGTCTATCTTTGTTGTTTGTTCCCACCCACCCATCACTGGTTAAGAGTTTTCTGGAAGTTGTGGGTGTAGTTAAGAGCCCAAGTGGACAGCCTGAATATCGAGGTTGATGTTTTGATAGCCTGATCGAACAGCCCGGATGTCAAGAAAGAAGTAGTAAATAGGGCACGATACTAGGAACTGGCTGTGGACCGCGTGAACAATGAGGCAGGATTCCATATTGTGTATTCCACAGTCATGTTTGTTTGTTGTATGTAGGGTTGAGTGACATATTTATTTAATTATTATTTTTGCTTTGTTGTATCTGAAAGATCACACTAATTTACTTTGTTAAAAACCTGGACTAAGTAGGTATGCGTTTTAAATGTAGATGTTAAATTACCAATTTCAGCAGAGATCACTCTTGTTATTTCCGATATGTCCAACTGTTCAACTCCATCAAGCATTCTAAGATTAACGTTGTTCTACCATCCGCAGCAGTCTTGGTGGCAACAACTTTGGGTTTTTCATTTTTTTAAGATCTTAGGTTGTACTAGTGGTGTGAGCGCAATGCCGTAATTGGTCGTATTAATTTTACAAAAACTCAATTATATCGTGATCCAGTGATCTAAATAGGATCATTTTGGCACCAATCGATTCGTCTTGATGAGACGAATCAAATGATACCAAAATCACCCGATTCGAATAACTGGATCACAAGTTATTCGCAAATAATAATCCAACGAATTACGGCAAATGTGCCGTAATTCTGTCATAATTCATTAAGTAGGTTTTCGAGAACATATCGCGATTCAGTAATTCAAATTGAATTATTTGGGTACCATTCGATTCGTCACATCGATACGAATCGAATGATATCAAATTTATCCAATTTGAATCATTGGATCACGATATAATCGAGTTTTAATACGACCAATTATGGCATTGCGCTCACACCACTAGGTTGTACACTCCCAAGCACAATTGATAATTCCGGCTATCCACTCACAACAACTACTTTGAAATCTTTTACTGGTCACCTGATCTTCCAACTTTGCACTTTCATCAGGATTACCTGTCTTGGCTAAACTTGTACCTGTATTAGTACCTCATACTCATTCTTTTCGATACTATTCTCTTGATAACCACGATTAAGATTATATGTTCTCCCTGCATTTCAACATTGTTGATTTTTGACAATGAATAAATACATCGTATGATAAGGTATGTTTTCAGCTTTTAATTTTGCCATTACATTTGATTCATCATCATCCCTCTTAGGAATTTGGTGTTATGATGGAGAAGTTAAATTTTTGTTGCATCAGTAACAAGAACGACGCTAAAATCTATACACGATACAATGTGCTCTTCTGTTTGATTCGGCAAAGATCCACATGAATATTTTGTCCACTAAGATGAGTATATTGTACATTTAATTCGATTTCATTCTTATATTGAAATTTATTGAAATGGACTATACTGATTCTCGACTCTTATTCGATATGCTTTATATTCTGCATCAAACAAAGGTATCTGTATAGTATTAATGATTAAAATGGGTATTTTATCAGAAATGGTTGGTTCCTTGCATTACTGTAGTTGTATGCTTCACTTTCAATTGATTATTTACTCAAGTCCATGAGTAATTCAATTTTGTCTGTCGTTTGATAAGTTTATTAGGCAATTTTTTTTAGATAATTTTAACCAATATTAATTATTTATTTAAATCTGTAAGCTGTTCCCTATTTTCGTCTGTCATATCATAAGTTTCTCCTGGGTATCTTTGATACATGTATGCCGATTATATTTATTTATTTATTATTTATTTTTTGGCAAAATTAGTATTTAATTTCGGTATACTATTTTAGATCTAGACTGAAGGTTGAAATTTCGATTCTAGCAATGGTATGGTAATTTCGAATGAAAAGTTCATTAAATTTCACTTTTCACAATTCGATCATTCAGATTGATAACTTTATTGGATCGGGTTTTTCATACCTATATATATAGGCCAGGCAGATGACTTATTACACGTCAAATGTTTCAAAATTATAATACATTTCTGTATTTATGATTATTTATTTATTATAAATAAAGGATTTTATTAAA